CCCCATCCTCCCCCTGCACTCCAGCCCCTCCCCCCCACTCTGTCCCTAGCCCCCCCCGAAGGTTCACCAGCCCCATTCCCCAACCCCCCAAGGTGCCCCCGGCCTCTCCCCCCCGGCGCCCCAGCCCCCCAAGGTCCTCCCCTCACCTGGGCGTGGGGAGCAGCCGCTGCGGCCCTGCCTCCCTCAGCCAGGCCGAGGGGCCCAGCCAGGCCCCAGCAAGCTGAGCGGAGCTGCCCCAGCTGCCCGCCGGCACCGGCAGGGGGCGCAGCGGCGCCTAGCGACAGGAGGCCGCAGTGCAGCGGACTCAGCTCACCCCTGCGTGTGTGTGGCTCGGGCCCAGCCGCCCCGGGCTCTCTAGCACAGGCCGCGGGGCCTGGGCTCGCCGAGAGCTCAGCTCCTGAGGAGACCCCAGGGCCATGGCCCCCTAGCCAAGCCCACCACGCTACTCCTGGGCATCGGCAGCCGCCAGGTTCCCTGCAGGGATCAGGCACCTCGGGCGCCGTCCCACTCGCTGCCTGGGAGCAGGCCGAACTGAACACCGCTCAGCCCAGCGCCCCAAAACTGGTTTCTTTGGCTTGAACCTTAGACCGACTCTGGTCCTGTTCACTGAGGCCTCAGGCTGTGCCCGGAACTGGGGTTCACACAGGCCCCGGCCATGCACCGAGAGACGACTTGTGCACAGCGACTCAGTCGAGTTACCCCAGGGCTGGCGCACTAGGTGTAGATGTCGAGCTTCCTTCTCTGGCGGTGCTCACACAAACGTCTCTGGGGGGGGGGGGGAGGGATTCAGTTGGTTCAATGGACTAAAATGGAACCAGGATTTGTGGCAAGAGCGAGTTCAATTTGAAAATCAGCCTGAACCAGGTTAGGATACACACATTAATTATACAAGCAATGAAAAAAAAAGAATGAGCTGGATTTAGAGGTTTCTCATACACTACTCATGTCTTGCCATCCAAATCACAGTAACAGAAAAAATGAGCTAAAAATACAGTGTACAGTTGCAGGTTTATTTGGTGGCTCTATTCTCCTTGCAGCCAGTTGGCCAGCTGAACACTTGCTGGTGTCTGAAATTGCAAAGTCTGAAGTTCACTTCCGCTAGGGAAAAAAAAGTGTTATACAAGAGCATGTGGTGTTGCATTAGAATACCTGTGACTGTCAAAGTCAGCACTGGGCAACCCATGGAGATTCAAACTCCCTCTAGTCCACAGTACAGTTGTGCACTAACAGTGTATACTTCCTCACCAATGACCTAGCCACACCACCTTCTTCCACGGGTACGGGAAATTGAGCCCTGGCCTTTCACAGGCCAAAGATATGAAAACCTCTACAGTGGGCATGGAATACAGGGTGCAATGATTTAGATCATCAAGCTGGACTTCAACGCTGATGCCAGAACCAAGAATAGTCAATCTAATAATTAACTCAATTCTTGTAATCAAAGATCTCCGTCACTGGCATCCAAGGCTCTAGTTCCAAACTGGTCCAAAATGATGCTCAAAGACTTGCTGGTGGGTTTGCAGAGACGTGGCTGGTCACATGGATACTAAATTAAAGTTTGTAATGTTAGTTTTCCATGTAAGCAATAGCTGTAGTTGTCACAGGGATGTCATGCGGTTGCCAAGAGGGGAGGCAGCACCTGAGATTCTCTCAAGCCGGGGAGATGACACTGCTCCCAGCTGTAAAGTGAGCACAGCTGATCAATATTAGTGAATTTTTAAACATCTAGGTACAGATAGAGCTGGAGGTTTACAGTCGGCATAAAGCAACTGAGAGTCCTGTGGCACCTTATAGACTAACAGATGTATTGGAGCATGAGCTTTCGTGGGTGACGAAGCGGGGATTCACCCACGAAAGCTTATGCTTCAATACGTCTGTTAGTCTATAAGGTGCCACAGGACTCTCTGTTGCTTTTTACAGATCCAGACTAACACGGCTACCCCTCTGATACTTGACAGTCCGCATAGTTTTACTGTGCCTACAATGTTTTCTGATAGCAAGTGTGAATCTAATTTAAGAATATGAGCAATGAAGGCAATTTACATTACCCGCAGAATAAAAGCAGCAACACCCGAATCATCTCAACACCACAGGCTTAAGTTTGATTAGTAGAAGATTAAGAACAGGTTAACTGTGAAATCCACCCCCACTAACGTCGTTCAAAAGCTGATGTGATGGTGTCATGGAAACTGCAACTGTACTCCAACTTCTTTCCTAATTGTGACAGGTACCTGCCAGCCCCTAGAAGCTGGAGCAAAATAGGAACTTGCAGTTAAGGGAGTGAAGCCAGCCTAATTAATGCAAAATGGAACTTTACTAGAATTATAATTTTATTATGAGCTCATTGAGACTTTGCACCTTCACTGAGAGGACCAAAATACTTCACAAACATTAGGCCTTGATGCACACGTGAATTTTATTCCCTTTTTACAGACAAAAACTGAGCCAATGGAATTGTTACTTCCCTAAGGACACACTTCAGAATCCAAGTGTTCTGACCCTAGCTACTAGACCACACTTCCTCTGGTTTTCTGCCAGGATGAAGGAGGTGGTGCAAGACGTAGGGGGAAAACCCAGACGAGTGGTGGCAGAACTGGTTTTTTCTGATCTCTCCTCCTCCTCCTCTTTTCCTAGAGTTATGTTCTAAATTCCATCTATTAATTTTTCAAAGGGGAAAAAAAATCAGACAATTCTTAGCTAGCCAGGCATTTATACAGCACTGATCACAATAGCATCAGTGTATTCCCCCACTAACCTAGGATAATGCTTTCAACAGGTGCATGACCCATCACTAGAAAAGATTGAGTTATTTCAGATTTGACTAATGTCAAAAAACCACCAGCTCAGGCAGGAGTGAATCCTCATTCCATGTACTCAGCACAAATCTGTTACAAATTCTGTATGCATTTCTGTGTGCTTGTCTGTAAAAACCCCAGATTTCTCAGGGCACTAGACTGAGCACCACGTGACACAGGGTACAATTTAGAATGAAACGCAAGAGTGAGAGTGTCAAATTTTGAGCGAGTTTTTAAAAATATTTTTGAGAAGACAAGCTGAATAGATGGAGTGAAATCTTCCTCCAAATGGCAAGAACTTTACATCAGCAAACCAGATGGGAGGGCAGTCAAAAATCTTTGAGAGACCAATAAAAAAAAAAAGTGTTTTTCAGGAGGAGGCCTGGAAGATATTAACTGAAGAGATGGGCAACTTATGGGTGAGCCTCTGGAATGTTCATTTAAGATTAAGGCATCTGAAGACACTGAATAGCTAAGCAGTTAAAATCAAAGTCATATGATTTGGAGTTACCATGCTGCAAAGAGCAGAAACGTAACATTGCAGACCACAGAACCTGCCCATCATAGACAGTGGCAAGCAGTAAGAGGCTCATATATGGAGTACGTGAGATTCTTACATAAGCAGCAGAAGAGTTGAACTTATTTTGCATTTAATGCACAAAACTAGCTGAGAGACTGAGGGAGAAGGGATTCCCCACTCAGCTGGTAATTAACAGCTCATTAAAGCCACAAAAATGACTATGTTCACTGCTTTTACTACTGCAGGCCTGTAAAGTTCTTTTCATTGCAGAAGCTCTGGCGAATGAAGATTAAAGTGTTTCTTCTTTGATTCACTTGTTCCCATCACCCTGTAGGCGTGTGTATCCAGCTTCCCTAAGTCCTAAAAACAATCTGCTTTCTTGTCATATTTTATATTTAACCTAGTCCCAGAAAATCTGGATCTCAGCATGGGACCCCAGTTTTTGAAAGGCTGTGGATATTTTGCATGAGAGTGGATTCAGGACTGCACTGGGAATTGGGTAATATTCCACTCCCACATTAAATTTTAAAATATTACAGTGTGATTGAAAAATGTGCATTTCCTGTAAAACGTGTCGTGGGAAATGTGAGAGGAGCTTAGTGTACCCATTGTGCAGGTTTTCTTGTGTCCATACAAAAACAAGTAGTATCTGTTTCATGCAATCCCTGATGCAATAATTACCTGGAGCAATAAAGCAAATTTTTTTCCTGAATAGTCAGTTATTTTTTTAACCTTTTCTTGAAGGGATGGGAGAAGTTACATTATTTTCCTCTCACTTTGGGAAGGTGGGAGCATGAGAGGAAATGTTTACTGGTTACCTTCAAACCTTATCCGAATTACACTGATAATTATTGATAAATTGCAGATTTGAATTCATTCAGGAAGGCATCTCTGTGAAACAGAAAGCAGTAAAGTCTGCACACGGTTAAGACCTTCACGATGCTACTCCCTGAAAGCACGGCTACGTCAGAAAAATTGCTATGTAATATCTTTCTAGAGTAGGTGTGCTTTCAGAGTTTGCCTTTACTTACTTCAGTGACAAAAATAGGTTTACTTCTGCTATTTCTGCAGAACTAACAGCTGTGGGAGCCTGAGCTGTACTGAGATCTAATTCATACAGTCATCTAGTTGCACAGTTAAATTTTGTCCTCAGTTATGAGTGAGCATCCCCTAGTGAAGATAGCATGAGTAGAATTTTGCCCAAGAATTCTTGTTACTGGTGACCATGCACAAACCAGAAAAGTCTGTTTCTCAGATACAAGTGGAATTTGAAGGGGGGTGACAGAAAAAACAAACATTTTACTTGTAAACTGAGCACATCTGATATGAAAATTATTCAGACCCAAGCACGGAGCCCCTGGAGACCATTTTTATAGTCACTTTTCGGAGGAGAGCCATACCTTTACAATATGGATTGGCCTTCTGCCATACCAGGAAGATCCAGTTTCTTTTACATGTCCTTTGTGTATTAATGATTTTGACCTTGGGGAGTTTGCAGATGCCAAAACTGTGTTTTAAGAAGAGAACTGGTTTTGTATTGCAAAATATTTAATTCACTGTTAAAATGAAATGAAACAACAAAATAGTAATACAATTTTACTAGGTTATATTTCAATTCATGAAGTATACACACTAGCAACTATCCTACCACCATGTCCACACATCTAATATTGATGGATGTTACAGCATTTTTTGGTATTAAACAATAAAGATAATGTATGCAGTTAACGAAAAAGGCTTAAGCATAGCATGTTATACCCCACAGTTGCAGATTACATCAGCTAGCATTAGTACAGTAAACAAGAAAAAGGTAGAAATACAAAATAAACCAAATATCTTTATATACAAACCAGTGCCTCTTATTGTAACCAGCTTATACTCACACTGCACACAAAATTTATCCACTGATGCAATAGATACTTCAGCATAACACAAACCATTATAAATTAAAAAAATTACAAGGTGCAAAACCTCCATTCTACAGCTTTCTGGTGAGAACTTCAGGACAATCCAGAGGAGGAGAAATCCAAGCACGTTTAGCACCTATTAGTGCAACTGCACTGAGCGTGGAAAAATGACCTACAGAACCTCTGAATGTGTTACCGGGAAAGACAGTTAGGACACACAGCAATAGATGCTCGCTGCTACACTCGCGCAGTGATTTTTGCCTCTTAAATATCTCAGTTTATTGTTTCTCTGTCTCATTCATACCTATGTGCAAAACTAAATCCTGAAAGCTCTCTCAGAACTTCACAGAAGACTACAGTCGGGTAAAAAACAAACAAAGACTTAATTAAAAGTCAAACATTCACGTAATTAGTACACATTAGCAGTCCTGGTGTGGGGATTGAAACGCTGTTGATGTGTGGGGTTCAAAAAATATGACACAGAAGTAAAACAGAATTTGCCAAGAATTCTGATTATTCTTATCCAGCTCTCCCACAAGCCTCCCAACCTCAGCTTGTGAATTCATTTGGCAGCCCATGCTAAAAAACCCAGAGTTGCATAGAATTGATTAGTAACACGGAAAGAAATGCCGAACACAGAGAGATGGATAGGGTATGTATTAAAACAAAATGGGGTTGCTCCAACCAGAACTCTGAAACCATCCCCCTTCACAAAGCAAAGCCTGCCGCCTCCTTCTCTCCAAATCCTACCTTTGGGGACTGCTTTCTGGCACTGATGTAGTTTTGCTAAGAGTCATTTTCTTCTTTGTTAGTGACACTTTATTTTCAAATAAAATATTAAAAAATATTCTAACTGTAAAAAAATCTATCGTATGTAAACTTAACAATTAGGATTTGGTAAGTTCTCGTACCTAGTCTGTGAAAAGCCTCCAGCCAGACCGCAGAATGGAGTGTTTCTCTGAAGAGCGTCAATCTAGCTACATCACCTGTTAAATATCAGTAGTATGAAGATCCCGTGTCTAGCAATAAAGCCTCTTTTTGTGTTTCCATCCACTTTATCACTGACCTATTGAAATCCTGACATGCTGTGTTTCTATTTTATGTACATTCTGGTCCTCTCACATGTCACAGATTTAAACATCTGGCCACGGAAGGCAACAAAAGGTATTGTGATTAAGAAAACTGTGTTTGACGGAGTTTTGCTTTTCAACAAGTCTCTTTCCCTTGGACACCAGTCACTGTTTTTATAGAACTTATTGTTCTGTTGAACCAAGTCTTCTTTGCTGCTTGTACCTCATTCAGCGCCAGGCCCAAATGGTGCTCCAGATCCTGCAAAGAGAAGCGTCAACACCTGTGATCTGCTGTCTAGCACAAAATGGTTTCTATAAGGCTCAGAGGGAACCAGGAATTCTCTAGTCTGTTGGCCACTTTTGCTTCTGAAGAGCTTTTCTATGTATAAAACCATCAGTACAGCATGCAGATTTCCTATCTGAACGCACCTTTTAGAGAGCGTAGTGATTCTTGTGTCATTGCCATGCAGACTCCTCCAGAATTCTCATTAGTGCATTCACACTCTCTAATTCAGCATAGACAATGAATGAGCGAGGAATTCTCCCTCTAGGAACTGGATTTTTCCTTACTAACTTTTGGCAAAAAGTGCTCAGAAATCACTAGATTAAAAATAACCTAAAACCCAATAATTGCCCCAAACATAACCCCTAGCCCCTTGTTTTAATCAATTCTATGTGCACTCTGCAAAAGAAAAGTTAGTATAAACTCATATGTCTAGATTTGCTGAGCTAAGAATGAGGGACATGTATTGGAAGAGATTACACGTAATGGTAGGGCCCTACCAAATTCACGGCCATGAAAAACGCGTCACGGACTGTGAAATCTAGTCTCCCCCTGTGAAATCTGGTCTTTTGTGTGCTTTTAACCTATCCTATACAGCTTTCATGGGGCAGACCAGAATTTCTCAAATTGGGGGTCCTGACCCAAAAGGGAGATGGCAGGGGGGTCACCAATTTAATTTGGTGGGGGGGAGGTCATAGTATTGCCATCCTTACTTCTGCCTTGACTTCAGAACTGGGTGGCTGGAGAGTGTGACTGTCGGCCAGGCTCCCAGCTCTGAAGGCAGCACCCGCCAGCAACAGCACAGAAGTAAGGTTAACAATATTGCAACCCCTGCACCACACACAATAAGCTTGTGACCCCCCACACCCCCAATTCCTTTTTTGGGTCAGGACCCCTACAATTACAACACTGAAATTTCAGATTTAAATAGCTGAAATCATGAAAATTACGATTTAAAAAATCCTATGACCATGAAATTGATCAAAATGGACCGTGAATTTGGTAGGGCCCTACATATTGGAAATGCATAAATGCAAAGGAGGGAAAGGAATTTTGGTTGGTTCATGGGCAGAAAAATGAGCAAAATAAAATTTAGGCCAAACATCAGGAAGACTTTCCTCACCGTTAAACCATGGAACAGATTCTCAAGGGAAGCAGTGGAAGCCTTCTTGCTTGGTACATTTGAAAACAGACTGGACAAAGAACTGGAGAATACATGGAGGGAAACAATCATCCCCACTGAGCCAGTGCAGGGTCTACACAGGAATCTTGTATTTCTAACTGCTAAAAATCCATGATAATCAAGAATGAAGAGCAAGGTAGCTAAAAGTCTAAGCCACATTCTTTGGTAAATGCAGCTTCTATAAAACCACTTCTATTTAGGGTTATCTTAATGGGATATTAATGTTTTCCTCCGTGCTTTAATTTTGATCTCTTCAGATTTAAATCAAATGGTCATTGAACATCATCCCTGTGGCAACTAAAGCATTAATCGCAATAGTATCTGAAAGCCTTCCAGTAGTGTGTTAAGCAATGTGACCAATATCTGTCATATGGTATCTGTTCTATCAGCAACTACAGCATTGTACAATAAAGAAAGTGATGAATCATATATTCTTCGTCAGAGTTAAAATGGGAAGCATGGGGTTTACTTTTCCCATCCAGGCAGTCACAACAGATTAGCCTGAAAGTGCTAAGAAGCAACTGAGCAGATGTCTGAATTTTGTGACAGCAGGTAAAAAGGGGCTCCTATGATTTTAATTATTTTATCTGCATCAGCTGAGTTTTCCAAACTAAATGTTTGGATAGATCTCCCACACAAGAAATAGCAGGTTACAGTTTCAGCCAACAGTATCTGCTCTAGTCGACCCATTCAAAATACATTTTTCTACAAAGATAAGACAGCTCTGCTGAGTAACAAATAACCCCCAAGTATTACCTGTATTTTACACTCTGCTTCGACTAACTGCAGTTTGGTTTGGGCCAGCTCAAGCTCCATTTCCCTCAGCTGGTTTTTCAGACTCTCCTTTTCCTCATCTGTGTCCTCATCAGAAGCCTCCTTGGCAGAGCTGGCGACCTTCACACGTCCTTCTTTATTGAAGAACTCTCGGCAGTGTTCACAGTCATCCACTTTTTGCTAAAATCAAAAACATCTGACTGCATTTCTGTTAAGGATGCTGGTAAACTTACTAGAAACATTTCCTGCCCCTGCACTAGAGTAGTGTGAGGGGGGTGGGTGGAGAGTCAGTGACCCACACGCATTTAGGCAACTCCCTTTATTCACCTGTTTGGGTAGACAAAATAGCACAGGCAAAGCAGGCAAATAAGAGCTTGCGTCACCCATACATCCCCATTCCTGCTGTGGTTTGTGGAGTTTTCTATGAAGTGTTTTGTAACACACACATCACTTCTAAAGCAGCAGTAATGGGAGAGAGCAAGCAGGTGGCACACTCTACACTCAACATCCATCCACACTGCAAAGGTCTCTGTGGTATAACTCCTCCCACCAACGTAACCGTCACCTTCGGGATAAGAAGCAAGATGCAATGGTTTGAGCAGGCACCAGGAACCAGGGAATCAGATCTACTCCCAGCTCTGCCACTGATGTACTGTGTGATCCTGAACAAATCACATAGCTGGTCTATGCCTCAACTTCAGAGGTCCATTCTACAAATGGGGGATTGATACTTGTCTTACCCCTGCAGGAATTCTGCACACACAAAATATTAAAATTCTGCACACGATATTTTAAAATTCTGCAAAATTTGTCAATAAACAAACGTGAAGGCTCCAGCATGGCAGTGGGGTGCACAGGCAACTGGCTGCATGGAGATGGGAGATCACCCTGCAGCCCCCCGCACCCTCATCCGGGGACACAAACTCAGCGGAGTCTGACCCTGACACAGCACAAGGGCCAGTCCTGCCCCAGAAAACAGCCCGGGTCACTGCTACTCTGTCCTAGGCGCACCAGGTATGGGCAGGATCCAGTGTGGAGGGGCTTAATGTTGGGGGGATCCAGGAGTGGGGTAAAAGGGTTCTGTGTGGGGCAGCTCAGTGGGGGGTCCAGGTATGATCTGGATGCACAGGGGCGCCTTGGAGGGTTTCTGGATGTAGGGGCAAAGGGACTCTGCAGGGGGTCCAGGTGAAGTTGGTTGGGGCTTGGCAGGGAGGTCTGGCTGTGGGGGGATGGGGCTCGTCGGGGTGTGGGGGTTCACTAGGGTGTCCAGGTGCTGGGGGCTCAGCAGGGGGTCTGGGTGCTGAGGGAGTGGGACTCAGTGGGGTGGGGGTCCAGGTGCAGCTGCTTGGGGCTCAATGGGGTGGGGGTCCAGATGCAGCTGCTTGGGGCTCAGTGGGGTGGGGGTCCAGATGCATAGGGGGTGGGGCTTATCAGGTGGGTGGGGGTTTGAGTGTGGAGGGCTCATCGGGCTGTGGTCTGGGTGCAGGGGTGAGGGGTCTGGATGCAGAGGGGTGGGGGGCATTGGATGCAGGGGGCTCATCAGGGAGGGCCAGGCTCGGTGGGGTGGATGTTTGGGTGCGGGGGGTTGGTGGGTAGTTCTGGGTGTGGGGTGTCGAGGCTCAGTGGGGGTCCAGATGCATGGGGGTGGGTTTGACTGGGCCCCAGCTGGGGCGTCCCTAGCACCACCCCCTCCCACAGTGATTTACCTCTCTGCCAGCTGCTCCAGGCGCCTGAAACAATGTGCCTGTGCTGCTGGGGAGGGGCACGTGACAGCTCTGGCAGCTTCCCTTTGCTTCCCTGTCAAAAAGTCATTTTTCTGCAGGGAAGCAAAGAAATCTGCGGGGAACATGAATTCTGTGCCCGTGCAGTGGCATAGAATTCCCTCAGTAGTATTATCTACATAACAGGAATGTTATGAAGCTTAAAATGTCTGAAGTGCTTTGGGATCCTCAGGTGACAGCATTATGGAAGTCCAAAGTATTGTTCACATTGCGGTAGCAGGTAATATGCAGTGTCCAGAGCTAAATAGATATTTCAAAAGATTTCACAAAGAGCCATGAATCTGGAAGAAAAATGATTGCACGTTCTGATCTGTGCTGAAATGCAATCAGCTTTATCAAGGGGGAAAATTCTCTGTGGAACCTCCTATGGATTAGATTTGACAGACACGAAGCAAACACCACTAAAACTAACTGGCAAAGCAGACCAAGCATGCACTGAATAGTCGGATGACCACACGACCACAAGTCCACTGGCTGCACAGGGTGACTGTACTAAGCACAGAGTCCAAGGGACAGTTTGTTGTTGGTAAAACTCTCTTCTTGGGATAATTATTTCTGCATTCCCTCAATGTTACATTATGGTCAAAGCAGGCTGGTGGTGCCTTCTCCTGCTACAGCAAGAAATCCCTCATGACAGCTTACATCAGTTATTGAACAGTAACAGCATGTTACAGGATGGTGTGGTAGGGGGAGCTGGAAACTAACTGCCCCTTCCTGAAACTATACGGCAGCCAAAGAATGCTGTAGGTGCCATTTATTTCATCTGTACTTGTGCCAACAGCGAAACACGGAAGTTGCTGGGTGCAACACATCATTCTAGCTAATTCGTTAAAGAATTTTTTAAAAGATCATAAGTGCACAGATTCATTAGGCTGATAATGTTTAAACAGTGAAGATCCTGGTAACATGCATCCTCTTACCCGTATTTTCTCCATTTCAGCTTTATTTGCTGTTTGTTGCTTCTCCAGTCGCTCGCTCAGCTGGGAGCAAATCTAACAAAGCAAAATTCTGTTACCACGCAGCAGTTGCTCAATAAATATTAAAACCAAACTCCTGTGCTACAGCAGCACTAAAGTGGAGATTTTAAGGGCCCCAGAAGAGTCAGGAAATTCAGAGTCAAGGTTTCTAAAGCAACCTGGATCCTGCTGCGTGCACGGAGGCATTACAGCAGGGTATTTCACTGCAGTCACACAACATACATGCAGTAACGCATGGAATTACATATGTGCCTCTAAGGCTGTAGCCAATAAGCAAGTAAGTTTATAGTTCAGCCTCTCTGGGGGAGTCGAGACAAATCGAGAGGAAGCATAGTTCCTTCCATTGCCTTGGGAATCAAGTAAACAACCATGACAGTGGGTGTGGCTAGCCACACCTACCCCTTGAGGTTTGTTTGATGCAGCCTAAGGATATCTTGAGGCTAAATTCCTAGTAAATGGAGCTATGGATTGGATACCATGCACTGCAGAAGTGGGAATCCAAACCTAACATTCTGAAACACTGTCATAGCGCTGAACCAAGCTAAAGAGCTTCTTTATCATCACCATCTGGTGGGAGAAGGGACTATGGGGGAGAAAACTTTTGGAGTGAAGTTAGCAGCAAAGCCTTTAGATTGTAAGACCATAGCCCGTTCAAATAACTTTATGTTCTTCATAATGGATACGATGGGTAATTGGCACGTGGCACCCTATAAAGATTTAAGTCAGCGATAAATAGAACATTGTGATCTCAGCCAAAAAAGCATGAAAACCACCACAGCTGCTCCACTTAAATATCTCAGAAGTCCCAGTAAATGCATGGCAAATATTGTACTTATATGGGGATGTCTGGAAAATAAATGCTAAATACCAGAGAATTCCCTGGCATGTGAGAGCAGTATGCCCCATCCCTATCCAAGCTGCACTTACCTGCTTATAGTCACCAATAATAGAGCTATTCTTTTTAATCTCCGACTCTGCCTTGTCTAGTTCCCTACGACACATTTCCTTCAGCTGCAGTAAAATAAAGAGAAAGATTACATATTTACAATACCTTAAAAAATAATCTGACAACGTCTGCAGAAGACAACCCACCTTCACTCCTCTAACTCATAACCCTTCGGAGATGACAAGCCTTTCTACTTCTGAGAAGCAATAGGCTAGTCCAGCCCCACTGCAATCTAGGGTGTAGCTATGAAGCTAGTTTGAGACACTGATGGGCAGGTATATCAGGAAAATTGGGTTGGTTTGTGGTAGGATATGTACGAGGAATTCACTGGGGTAAATGGTGACAGTTTGAATCCTATGTTGCTTCCATCTGTAGTAACACTGTCCGCATGCATCCATGCTTCCAAGTTAGTTAAATATTAAATTACAATAAGCAGCAGCTTTCAAAGGGACCCTGAACTCTGTTTCTCTATGCTCTTTACACTGAACGAGAGGCAGAAGGATAACTTGGAACAATAAGCCCTTCCTATGCAGGTCTCGTTTTCTTAATTTCCCTGCTTTACAGAAACGTGAAAGCAACAGAAACGCCCATAACCTGAGCAGACTCCTCTTCTAGTCGCCTTTTTTCTTCTTCTGCATCAATTAACTTCTGTTTGGTCATTAGCAATTCCTTATTCAGCGCATCCGCCTTTTCCTCTGCCTGAAACACACACCATAGAGCAGAACATCAAGCACAGGATTTCCCATCACTAAAGAACTGTATGCGCCATTGTGCCTATGCCTCTTGGCATCCAACGGCACACCAGACCCATGGGACTCTGCCAAGGCAACAGCCTCATTCTACACTCTTCGTTTTCATTACAAGTACCATCAAAGGAGAGAAAGGGACCATTTTTGATATCAGATCATCACAAGAACAAACTTATCTGTCATTTTTGGTGCTTCCTACAGCTTCAATATGAAAAATAGTTCCCCTGGAGACTGCATGCCTGCTGCACAATTATCCTTATTCCCATCAGGCAGACCTTAGTAGCACTCCTCACCCTGACCAATCTCACAGGAGACCCTGTTCCCCACTTCTCAACCATCATTTAACAGAAGAAACACCGCAAAACCGAGACCTTATTATAAAGACTCTGTGGCTGTTCCTAGTATATTCTGAGAGTCCATGTAAACTATGCAGGTGAAAATTAAAACAAGACTACCTTTGCTAAAATACATGAGCAAAACACATTGGGAGACTTCTTTTTATTTGCATCTATTCACTTGGTAACCAACAAAACTCAGTAAACCACAACTGGTCTCCTAATGTGAGTGAATGGCCAAGTCCTGTAGTCTTATCCTTATGAAGGTAGAAATAGCACCTGACAGATGCTTAATCACATCAATATAAAGGCACAAATTAATCATTTCTGGGGGGTGGGAGAGTGAGAAGGAGGAAGTCCTTAATGATTTAGCTTTCTGGGCCACATAACATGTCTTCTTTCATGTCCTATGTACTGCCAGGCACACTGTACATGCTTCACAAATAGCGAATGGTGGTTAGCCTAGAAGACTGGGAGTCAGTGTGGCATCTCTGTTCTGCATAGATAACCCTCCCTCCAAAAGCTCTTCTTTAATTTCAGTGACCGGCCTCAGCAAAGTCAGCATCTGAATGATTGCTCCCAGGAAGAAATCCAATTAGAGAAATAATTACTCCCTTTTCACTTGGGCCTGGGACCAGAATAGTAAACTAAAGGACAATGGAAGACATAGAACAGATATCTATTTGAAAGATGATCTATAATAAAAAACTTTAACAATCCAAATCTCATGTTCACTTTGCAAATGTCCAAGCTGTGGTGAGAATACATTCATTGAGAAAGCCCCATGAGAGCTTCGCCAAATCAAAATAGACAGGACACCTGCCCATGAAGGCAGTTACTCCCCTCGTTTCTTAAGCCACCCAGAAGAGTTTGCATTACAAACAGAATCTAACACAAGCAAATGAGAACAGTCCAATGTCAATCTGCTCCACTAAGTACTCAATACCCAGGCAGAAAATGTGTACATTGAACAGAAAATTAAAATGAGCTTGGCGTACAGTACTCCTTGCTCCCATGAGTTCCCTTCTATCTGAGCCCGAGGGATCAGTGCAGTACTATGCCAAACCACTTCACCACAGCTGTACATTAACTCATCTTTCTGATCAGGTAAGACAGAACACATTTCTTCACTTTCCTTCTGAGATCTACTAGGATGATGAGTCTGACCTTGATAAATACCTTTTGGGGATGTAAAAAGACAAAGGATAAATTAAACTGGAAAAGACCAGAACTGACAACAACCTTGAAAAGCTCCTTAGGTTGATTTCCCCCCCCCCCCCATCACATAAGATAAGTCACTCAAAACCATTACTGCAAAGGTATGCGTCTTTTCCAACATTGCTGTTTAAATACAATAGCTCAGGCCTCACAGATAGATGTATTGATTACATATATGATCAATATGATCAATAACTCAAAAGGTTTAAAGACTTCAGAAAGCAACTGTCTCAATCCCTTTGAAAGGAAGAAAATCACAGTGAATTTTAGTCCACTAAAGTTTTGATGATCCTTAAAAATAGGGGCACAATCCTAAGGGACGGACTTGTCAATATCCATTGGCTCCAAACTGTTTTGAAGTTAAAGAAAGCTGGACATCTGACTCCAACAAAAGACGATGACTGAAGCTTAATTTCTGGGCTAGTATAGAGGAAATGAAGGAAGCTGCTTAATTTCCATTCTTTGCTTTGATCTATCTAGGCTATGAGATTGCAAACGTGCCTTTAAGGTATCAGAAAGGGTGTATTACACAATGTCTTTTAGTACTTTTCTTCCAGGACAGTTGACTAGTTGAAATGGAACATGATCTCAGGGTCCAAACAGAAGAATTAATCCAGGGTCAAATCACGGAAGTCCCCTCAAGGGCAATTCTGTCAACTTCATTTAGCCATCTTTGGAGGATGGACAGATTATAACCAAATCCAATGGGCTACCTCAGAAGTTTGACTTAATTCTGCTTTGTATAAGCAAGTCAACATTAGAGCACAGCTAAGTCCCATATGGGTTCAAGTGGTCACAACTGAGTTACTAGTGAATATCAAAAGCAACAAAAGATGCATTTTATGTTGGGGCCCATCCTTTGAGCACAACTGCTCAGCTGTCCTCATATTCCTCTATTATGTCTTTGCTGAAATGGAAAAGGAGGTGTAACAAGGTGAACATGCTGGTATTTTGTGAAGTCCCTACCCAGAACAAAAGGATAATGGAATTTATTATTCATATTTATAGCAGGTTTTCATAACACTACAGAGCATTCATCCACTGGTATAAATTCTCACTCTGAAACAGTAAGAACTTCCAATATTTTTCCTGAAGAAACTTTCCCAGTAAAGAGTGGGAATCCCTACTTCACTTAGGTTGGTGGGCTGAAACACTTTAAAGTCTGTCAAATCCTGGCTTATACAATTTCTAAAAGCCAGCTTCCGCTGGGATTTCACAAATGAATGTATCTTCATACAAAACGAGAATGGTATGACACAAGCACTTTCTTTCTTTCCCCCTTCTTTCCAGGTGGATTGGTAATATCTACATCAGTTCAGAGGCAGCAGCAGAAATGCCAGTTCATTTTGCCCTAGCATGTGTGCTGTCTAAGGCAGTGTTTCAGTCCTTCTGTCTCTGCAAAAGTATATTCTAGCAAAACATCCCCAATGTGATTATCTAAATCTGACATGAAGGGAAGAGACAGCAAAGAAAAACCCAAGTAACACAATTGGAATCCAAGCATCTGTGCAAAATGAACAAGGAACAAGAAGATGACCGAGTTTTATAAGAATCTTTGAAGACGTTAATTTTTAGCATTAAGGGTATTCTCTCATCTTAACACACCTGTAAATACTTGATCAGTACAAGAATGTACCCTCCAGTGCATTTGCCTTTAGAAAACTATTGATATGGGAAATGACCAATGTGACTGCAAATACATTGGAGGGCGTGGAGGGTTGGGGGGGGGAAGAGTCATCATAAATTCAATCCATATTGTCACACTTCAGCAAGCCAAAACACACAGGATGAAATTTTGAAAAGCACCTAAGAGACTTAAGAATCTAAGTCCCATTGAAAGTCAAAGGGACTTAGTGGTTCTTATGTGCTTTGCTGACAGTGAAACGATATACACAGACTAAACGGCTACCAGGAAGTCAGAAAACAGAAAACACCATAATGTCACTAAGGGTCAGAAAATGGGCTTTCTAGACTCCAGCTACATACTGTCTCTTATCCAACATAGTGGCAAAAACAATCAAGAGCGAGAAGCACCTGCATCCTGCAAGACCAAGATGGGTTTTACAGTCTATACATGTAGCAACTGCTCAGCCACCTCTGTGGCAAACACAGAAGCCATTTTACACCAATTACACTACACAACATGAGAGGAAGAACAACATTGCCGATTTATACGCTAGGGGATATCAGGGAGGTCAGAATGCAACTTTCCAAGTAGGAATTTGGCTCCATGAAAGAGCCAATACCTCTTCTCTCCCTCAAATTACCTTGGGCTCTTTTCATGACCGGGGGGGTGAGAGCCTCAGTTTTAGGTATCCTTCAGATGGGACCTTCAGCAGCATAGTGCAGCCTAGTGCCATGCTGGGATAATCACCGAGTACTGACTTGGAAAGAAGAGTCGCACTTACATCAAGCAACACCACCACTTGTTGAATGTCCCTTAAAGGTCTCCAATTCAATAAATGGCCAAACCTGCCCTTGCTTACCTCGTGAGACCTAAGAGAATCCTGGCCTGGCCACGGTAGTAGGCTTTCCATTATAAATATATAAGCAATCCATAGGCCTGAAGGCAAAAGATAAATGGAAAAACATCCCAAGGTGAAGAAATAATGTGAGATTTATCAGTCTCATAAGTGGAAAATGCAGGTTTGCAAAGTAATTGTAAGAACACGATCCATCTATGGACACCCGCAATGAGACATTAAGAATTAAATGAGAGGAGTAAATAGAAATGAAGTTTTGCATTATCTGCACCCAAGAGCAGAGGGAAATGTTTTGCCTTACATTATCTAAATCCTTCCGCAGTGCAATCTTGCTGGTGACCAGTTCATGGGCAAGATCATCATTTTCTTGTTCAAGCCTCATATTTGCTTCTTGCAGTCGCCGGTTCTCTCGCTATTGGAAACAAAACGCCCGAGTTTAAAAAAAAGCTCTCTCAAGGAGTTTGTTTACCAGAAACCGTTTTGAGTGCCTCTCAGCTCACACATTCACCCTGTAAGACCAGCCTGGAAACCCAATTCTGGCTGCATGTGTTTTAGTGACAACAAATAATTAACTATTTTATATTCATCATATGGTTAGCGAAGCAAAAAATGACCCTTGAGAAGCAGCTATTTATTAGTAACTCTGCTTAGCCATTACTGGGAAGCTCACTGAGCCATAGCAAAGCTTCGGGCAGCGGAGAGGTGGGGGTGAGAGTCCACTGCCAATGTTCCCACAAGTGTTTCCCTCCGAGGCTTGCAATAAACTTTGTGGGCTGTGAAAGGAGGGGTGTGTGTGTGTGTGCGGGGGGGGGGGGGGAGAAGGGGTCTGCAAAGAACAGGGTGGGGGAGTATGTGAAGACTGCTCAGCTGTTTTCTCGCTTAAACAAAACTGCTCTGCCACAACCATAATTGAGGAGGGAGGCTCCAGCTCCTGGCAAACACATGGATAGAAGTGCACTTCACTTGAAATGTTTATACCCTGAAAAATAGACTCAGTATTTCACAGCATACAACCTGTGTCACTAGGGGGTGGGGGGGGCGAGAGAGAGAAATGGGGGAGGAGAGTGAAGACTTTATGGCGGTGAACTTATACCCACCAGAATTGTGTGTGTTTGTTTAAATATCTGTCACTTGGTGACATCAGCACATTACACAAATGGACTCTTCTGAGGCAGTTTTATGAACCCAAGTGTAAAAGTATAAATCTGCACTATCCCACCCTTCAATTTAATGGAAACATTTTACGAAGGGGCTTGCTCTGGAACGTCCCTGCTGATCAACACAAGTAGGCATTTCTTTAATGTTCATTTGGCAGAATTAAGCTGTCCTAGCAAAATCTCTGCATGCTGGCAAATAAAGAGAAACAACTGAAAGAAACAGAATTTGGAGCAGGACTTTCCTGAGAGGCCTCAAAATGATCTAGGTGTGCAGTGTGTTACCTCAAATCTTTCTATAGGATCCTCCTGTTGTGCTTGTTGCTCTCTCATGGTATGATATTCCTTTTCATATTTCTTCAACTTCTTCTGACCAATCTAAATTAAACACAACATATTAGTTCCTGGCCAGTTCCATTCTCTCTCATGGAAAAGCATACACATTTTACACAGTGTCAGTGGTGCAAACCTCAGGCAAGACCTGCCTGCTACAAAATATGATTAAAATGTTTCCCATCTATTCTGAGAGTGAAGTAATTAGAACTGGGCAAAAATTTTTGACCTATTCAACGTAATCAAATAAATATTCTGTCACTTCCTGCCTTCTTTGGAGCACAGGTGTTTATCTGATGAGGTTGAAGTTTTAAGGCTGCCTCTTCAGCTTTAATTTTTAACGTCATGCGTACATGTCTTCTATGCTTTTTATGAAACTGCTAAAATAGGAAGGGCCTGAGCAAGGGGGGAGGGATAGCTCAATGGTTTGAGCATTGGCCTGCTAAATCCAGGGTTGTGAGTTCAATCCTTGAGGGGGCCACTTAGGGATCTGGGGCAAAATCAGTACTTGGTCCTGCTAGTGAAGGCAGGGGGCTGGACTCACTTTCAAGGTCCCTTCCAGTTCTAGAAGATAAGATATCTCCATTATTTAAGGTTCATCACACAGCTCTGCTAGCTCATACCTGACTTAAAAAAAATCTCCAATCCCAGGGCTGCCTGTACATCTCAGTCAAGCCACAACAGACTACATCAGCACCAATGGGAGAGAAGGATAGAGAAAAATGATGGTCTGGTAACAAGCAGGTAAGGCACCATTCTGGAACTCCGGAGATCTGAGTTCTCCTCCCAGCTCTGTCAGAGATTCCCTCCCTTTGTGACCTTGAGCAAATGAGTCTCACTGCCCCAGTGTTCCCATTTGTAAAATGGAGCTAAGAATCCTCCTCTTCTTCACAGAGGGTTGATAAATTAATTAATGCATATGTGGTGCTCAGACACTACCATTACAGAAGACACAGAAAAATCTTTAAACAAAACCCACCCCACCAGAGCCTCTCCTTCTGTTGAGGCCCCGAGACATGCCAAGTGCTGTAGTGGCTTAGCAATACAGCCTATGCTGAGACCACCAGGCTCACTTCACTTGTGGACTAGCACTGATTTACACTGGGTCTCCAATGATTAAAGGCTGCTGGGCCTTACTATTATCTCAGTAAGCTAGCTACATGATAAACGGGGATGGCTCCTTTTTTTAAAGTATTTGTTTAAACAAATCTTTTGCAAAAGAGTAAGACAGACATATGAAAATCAGTTTATGGTTATTTCCTACTTTATCATTAACAGTCTTGCCCGAGATGAACAAGCTGCAGAAAACTAAGAGCTAGGCTCCCTCTAGTGAGATTTATACAGCAATGTTTTAACCAGATTTCGACTGAAATATTTCAATCTCCGTTGCTGGAGTCTCTGTGCAGTACAATTACAGTTATAAGAGTTAATCAGGAAAAATACAGAGTAAACGCTTAATAAACACTCACAAGGGATCTTTAGGAACTAGCTTCATTCTCGAGAAAGGGTTAAAATCTTAATAAGTAGTTTGTTTCACTACATAAGGACTTATTGAAACATGTCCTGGCTTTTACATGCTGAATCTCACATTAGTGAGAATGTTAAACATTGAGAAGGAAGGAAATAAGCACACACCAATGTATTCAACTCACCACACTTCTGAGTGTATCAGAACCAATCTTAGCTCTAGATAGGAGTTACTGGGTGATCACAAGGTTCTTTTTGTGATGATCACCAATATACAGCCCCAGTGGGAACGGTGCGAGTGGAACGACAGCAGAAATCTTGGAATTTGCATTGTGAGACACAGAGGAGGCAGGAATCCCAAATTCTAGTTTTTCTGCGGCAAGGAAGGTAGCAGTGGCTCTTTTTACATTTCACTGTAACAATGAAGTGTGACCTTAAGAATCTAGCATTACTTCACGCTCATCATTAGCTGACCTCCTTTTCAACAGAATGCTGTTGTAATCACAATGCCTCAGCCAGGCTACTTTTCCCTTCCTATAAATGATTCAGCTTGACATCAGGGCCTTTTCTGTTCAAAAGCATTTTCAGGTAAAAAGCAAGAGATTTTTTGTGTGTGTGTGACAGCAATGGGCTTATATTTTAAGTCGAACCAATTACATGCAGCATTCAAATTAAAAAAAAGTGTGCATGGGGGTGAGAGCTGCAAGCACTGGGCTTTTGCTCAGAGCCCAGTGTTGCAACCTGCATTCTCTCCAGCAGCCTTCCATATTCTGTTAACCCTTTCAATGCAAATTGCATCTGGCTTCCCTATATAGTACAATATATATGCTGTGCCATTAGTTCAAGGTGCACTTGAAACAAAGGGAGCCTAGGCAGCAGTGGGAAGGGGAAAACGAACGAAGTTCCTGATGTGAAAAGTGAAAGGTAAAATGTGTGAATGCACTCTTGGCAATGCAAGTGTAGCACACGATATTAGCCAGATGCATATTTAATATCAATGCTGTCTGTAATCAGCCAAGACTGGGTCATCTTCATCCTGCTTATTTCCCTTTTCTTACACAGGTTTTGGATCAGAACGGAGTACAAACCCGTTAACTGCCACTTTGAGGTCTATGTAGAGACCCTGCAGTGGAGCGGGCAAATGTGGAGCAAAGAGCTCTGGAAAACCCAAATGCCCAGGAATGTTTCCATACTATGAAAGCTATGCTTAGACTCTAGCAGCATACCGAGTTCCTTTAGCCATGCTATAAGTATAAAGAAATTTTGTGCCAACACCAGTGGTTTTGCCCCAAAACTTGGCATATATAGTTAAATTATAAATATAAAATATAGATCTAAAACTGTCATAAGAAGTTAGAAAGTTTCCTTTAAAAACATAAGAGAGCTCTATTTCAGAATTGAATGATCACAGCTATAAAGGAGACACTACAGAAGGGGTTTTTGGGAATCTAGTTTAAAGGTCTCTTTTAAAGTGGTGGTTTAAAGGTTTAGTTACAATATTCACAGTTTGATTTGATTAAAGAGAAGCTGTTGACTTTCACTGTGAATTAATGCCGTGTTCATTACCAGTAACTGCCAGGATATCCTTATTCCCAATGTCAAAGGCTACATCTATTTTACATAATTACATTTAAGTAATAGGGTCTGGTGGACAATTTCTATCTGAGAAATTTTTGTGCACCTCAAGCGATAGAACTGAATGAAATATCTCCTAGAGAAGCACTTTGTCATACAGCTATTATTAAATAGGAATTATTAATTAATACAAAGGATACATTAATAGCAAGGCAATTACATTTGTAGAACAGAGCCTCCTTTGTAATGAAAGAGTTGGAATCAATTTGCAGCACAATATTTGATCCCCTGGCAAACCCCGATGATGCTATAGTTAACTAAATGGGAGCGTGATGGACCTCAACTTGGTTCTGTGGCAGAGACCAATTCTAAGTTCTGGGTTTCAGAGTTTGGTATCTTTGCTATTTTTAATCAGACAGTTGTTTTGATTGGAAGGACCTTCTCTAATGAGTCACATAGTTCCCTTTTTGCATTGTGGCAGTACAAATTTCATTACTCACAAATCATCCCTGATAACTGGTGTCTACCCAGGTTTGAATCAAATTTTGGCTGAATGCTTTTTAAAACTAATTTCCTTCCAACTCTTTTCTGGAATTTAAAAGCAAAGGTGAAATTCTCAAAGTTTTAGCTGTTCCCTTTACACTAAGTTAATTTGGCTTTGTCTTAAATTAGTGAGTTAAAAAAAAAAGGCAGAGTTGTTTATTAAATTGTGCCACTTCGCCGAAACTTAGCAATGTTAAATTATTTTAAATGCAAAAGTTTTATGAGGAGTTAGTCTCCAGTATATTCAGAAAGTGCATGTCTAGGTCAGCATTGTGTGTTTTTAATAATGATGCAAGCTCCTTGTTATTTGAAGGGAAAGCCGGGTTTCCGTTCTCTGTCAATGTAAGCCATCAGTTTCTAAAAAGCTACAAAATAGTGTCTACGTTAATCCTCCTGGCTCTTAAACACACAAAACCTTTCACTTGGGCTGGTTGTTGTATAGGCCCTGGGGGCTCCATAATCTTTTATCAGGGAGCTCAACATTAAGTGGCTATTACATACCATTCAAACTTCAGAGTCTAGATCTATGTGGCTAGAATTGATGGTATTGCACAGAACCTCCTTGGTTGTGTTTGATACAGTATTTGGGTGTTCCATCTTAAGACGACAAGGTGGGTGAGGGAATCTCTTTTATTGGATCAACTTCTGTTGGTGAGAGACAAAAGCTTTCGAGATAGCTTGTCTCTCTCACCAACAGACGTTGTTCCAATAAAAGATTATTACCTCACCCACCTTGTCTCTCTAATATCCTGGGACCAATATGGCTTCAACTGCGTTCCATCTTCATGTTATTCTAACCCCTACAACTCTTTGCATAGTTCAGCTCAGCCTACTTCATGTTAAATGATTTCCCATTAGTGCTTTCACAACTAACCATAAGTGCAAGTATCAAATCTGGCCACCCTCAGTATTTCCCAAACTTTTGATAAAGTTTTGACTGTATGACAAGTGCAATTTTATTAGCTTAAGCAGCAACTCTGGGGAGAAGACAAACAATAACTACACTCTTGGTAAGAGAAACCTCAGGTTAGATGGTTACTCCACGGAGAACAGCACTCTTTTAAAACTGTAAGGCACTTATGAAAGATTCAGAAATATCCGCACACGAAACATGTGCGGTACATGCCAGAGCACTAGTTTTAAACATCATGTCTTGTACCAGGAGTAGGCAACCTATGGCACACGTGCCAAAGGCGGCACACGAGCTGATTTTCAGTGGCACTCAAACTGCCTGGGTCCTGGCCACCGGTCCGGGGGGGGGCTCTACATTTTAATTTAATTTTAAATGAAATGTCTTAAATATTTTAAAACCTTATTTACTTTACATACAACAATAGTTTAGTTATATTAGGATTACCATTCGTCCGGATTCCCCCAGACATGTCCGGCTTTTTGAGATAAAAATAGCGTCCGGGGGGAATTTGTAAATGTCCGGACTTCCCCCCGATGCAGAGCGCGCGTGGCTAACAGGGCAGCCGGCCGGGTGGTGCCACTTACATGGGGCTCCAACAGCCAGAGAGCCCCCCTCCTCCACTTCCCCTGCAGCAGAGATCCCTCCCTCCCTGCATTTGCAGATTGCCTCCGGCAGTCTGGAGCTCCTCCCCCGCTGCCCAACGTGCTGGGACGAGCGGCAGGATAAGGGGGCCAGGGGGTTGGAGAAGGGGCAGGGAGGTTCTGGAGGGGGCAGTCAAGAGACGGGGGGGGGGGTCGGGAGTTCAGGGCAGGCTTTATGGGGGTGTGTGGATAAGGTTTTGGGCAGTCAGGGTACAGGTAGGGGCCTGGGGGGCAGTTAGGGTGGGGGGGGTCAAGGAACAGGGAGGCTTAGGTAGGGGGTGGAGTCCTGGGGGGCAGTTAGGGGCAGGGGTCCCAGGAGGGGGCAGTCAGGGGACAAGGAGCGGGGGGAGGGTTGGGAGTTCTGAGGGGGGCAGGAAATGGGAGGGGGTGGAAGGGGCAGGGGCAGGGCTAGGGCAGGACGGGGCTAGGGCGGGGCTCCTCCTGTCCTCTTTTTTGCTTGCTGAAATATGGTAACCCTAGTTATATATTATAGACTTATAGAAAGAGACCTTCTAAAAATGTTAAAATTATTTCTGGCACACGAAACCTTAAATGAGAGTGAATAAATGAAGACTCAGCACAGCACTTCTGAAAGGTTGCCGACCCCTGTCTTATACATTCAGTTAACAGTCCCCAAATGAAGAGTGATACTGTGAACCTCCCACTTGGGCTGCTCATGGGAAAACAAAGCTTTCTACATTATTCAAGGGTTTCCAACTAGCTGCAATGCAGGTGCAGCAGTTTCTGCAGACAGCTCCACACACAGTTCTGCTTAGGTTAATTTCATTATAGAGGAGACCTTCTTCAGAGTACAAAAGAGCATAAATCAATGCTTATAGTGTAAAACTGCCCTCCCATTAACCTGCTACAGCCCACTGCAGAGTCTCAGGTTTAAAACAGTCAAGTTCACAACTTACGGAGGATTTTTCACAGAAGCAAAAAAAAAAAAAAATTAAACATTAGGAACATATAAGCTTCAGGATCACTTGCCAACCTTGATTAATTTGGGAAATTTTAAATGCAAGGTCATCTTCCATTTGCCTCCCAAGTAGATATACAGAATTTATAGTACCTATCAATGCATTTTAAATGAGCTCCTTGCTGTAGTATACAATTAAATATAGCTCTGTTCCGTTCAAAAGGACCATATTTTCTGCCTCTGCACTGTTTACTTTGTTTCAAGTGTGTTGTTCCCAGTTGTCTCCAGGAGAGATGCTGCTGGCCATTTAGCAGAAATCATTGGAGAAAGACTTGAGCAAATAAATGCTTTTCTGTATATGCAATATGTGTAGTTTTACGCAGATTTTAAACTTTATTGGACTGTTTTTAGTCACTTAAGCTCTATTTGTTTCATTGCAAAGCATCTAGAGGTAGATAAATCACAAAGTTATGTGAACCCCCCTGCCAATATATATGGGATAGACAGTTGCTGAGAACAACTTGCAGGCCTCACATGTTTACCTTCATATTGCAAGCTAACTCCATCAGCTTTTTTGCATTTTCCTCTGACCGATATCTCTTGGGCAGCTGTACACGGAAGAACTTTAAAGCCCCTTCAAAGTCCGTCAATAACAGGTCATCCTTGGTAGTCTAGAAACATGCAGAAAGGAAACAATATTTGCAAAGCGGATTTTGAAAAATAGCTTCAATAACAGATGCTAATAAAATGAAACCGCTATTTTGTTAAGCTCACGAGAAAGTATCTTTTAACCTTCTTAAAATAGCAACACGTGTTTCCACTTGCACAATAGGACATTTTCCACACATGGCACAGCCACAGAGGCAGTGCATGCCAGACAGCAACAACAACAACACAGGAAGATTTTTGATTATAGTATTTTTGTAACACAGCCAGTACATGGTGATGTATTAAATGAAACAATGTTAAAGTTGGATACTCACTTTTAATAATCCCAATGCAACATTAAAAATAACACTTATTCCCTAAAGAGAGAAAGGAAAGAAAAATAGAAATAAGTCAACGTTTTCAATATTTACAAGCCTTGCTATTACTTTGTTCACACCTTAAAGTTACATATTTTTACTTTTTCCTATGAAAATGGGAATGTAGCATAAAAATATAAGCAGTAGCTTGATCAGATCAAAGCCCCGGAGAGTAAACTCACAATAAGGCAAAAATCCCCTGTGCCTGGCACTTTGCAGATAGCAAAAGGAACTGCCTCAAACACACACTGCAGCCTCTCCTCACTAAGCTTCCCTTTGCCTGATGGAGAAAAGAATTCTTCCAAACTTCCTTTACCTTTATGTCCAGTCTAATAATAAAAGATCCTTTTAGGAAAACTACATAGTCCAGTGGATTGTGGGGAGCTCAGGGCAACACAATTCATGCATTTAGCAACATAAAATAGTAACCAACAACAAAGCTACTGGTCCCACCAAAAGCTGCTGTAAATTAATAGCCAGTAAGATGCTATCTTCATATAACGTAGAGTTGTGTCTTAGTACATTCAGTTTTGCAGGTGGCAGAGCCACGAGTTAAAGCGGCCCTAAACCACACAAGAAATACGTCTTTCACTTGTCTAAAACATTCCTCCTGTTACACCCTCCCTTTCATCTCAAAGGATACAGAGAGAAGGGAGGACGGGCAGACACTAGTATGTGGTAACCGGGGTATAGCTTGGAGTTCTGCGATCTCTGAGGGATGGAAGGACTCCCTATGACCCAGGAACCTCTTTGTACCAACTGGCAGAGGGCACAGAGTTGTATAGGGATCCCTTGAGTCAAGTATATGCACAAATTCACCAAAGGGTGGCATGTAAGGTCTCTACCGAGAGCCAGTAGCCCGCTGGTCAGCCTAAGCACTGCAAAATGTAAGTATAAGAATGGCTATCCTGGGTCAGACCAATGGTCCACCTAGCCTAGTATCCTGTCTTCCAACAATCACCAATGCCAGATGCTTCAGAGGGAATGAACAGAACAAGGCAATCATCAAGTGATCCATCCCCTGTGATCCACTCACAGCTTCTGGCAGCTAGGGACATCCAGAGCATGGAGTTGCATCTCTGACGATCTTGGCTAATAGCCATTGATGGACCTATCCTCCATGAACGTATCTAATTCTTTTTTGAACCCCGTTATAGTTTTGCCCTTCACAACATCCCCTGGCAACAAGTTCTGTAGGTTAACTGTGCGTTGTACGAAGAAGTACTCCCTTTTGTTTGTTTTAAATCTGCTGCCTATTCATTTCATTAACTCTCCCCTGGTTTTTATAGTCCTCTATCATATCCCCATTAGACGTCTTTTTGAGCTGAAAAGTCCCCGTCTTTTTAATCTCTCAGTGTATGGATGCTGTTCCATACCCTTAATCATTTTTGTTGCCCTTCTCTGTACCTTTTCCAATTCTAATATATCTGTTTTTCAGATGGGTTGACCAGAACTGCAAGCAGTATTCAATGAGTCTGTGTACTATGGATTTATAGTATGGCATTATGATATTTTCTGTCTTATCTCTTTCTTAATGGTTCCTAAAACTGTTAGCTTTTTTGACTGCTACTTTACATTGAGAGGATCTTTTCAGAGAACTATCCACAATGACTCCAAGATCTCTTTCTTGAGTGGTAACAGCTAATTTAGACCCCATTACTTTGTATGTATAGTTGGGATTATGTTTTACTTCATTAAATAAACTCTTGCTTGTTTTCATTATGAACATATCTAAGTGCCGTGTGTTAAACGGAGCAGTGATCTGACAAGAAACTGGTAAACTGGAGCCCACTGCTTCTTTGGGAACAGCGAATCTGTGAATGCTGTGTATCCAGTGGAGCAGGGGCTAGACACTCCAGGGAGTCGCTCAGAGGACTCAGGGGTTGGAGTGCACCTATTGCTAACTTGCAGAGGGACAGCAGAGCCTGCGTAGGCTATGGGGGGAGGGCTGGTGTTGTCTGTGGCCAGTGGAGTCAGGAAGCTGACCCCGAGCAGGCACAGACAAGGTGATAGCGAGGTGCCTCACAACCCCGGATACCACTGGGAAGCATAAGACTCCCCCCTGTGTATTTTGTAATGTCCTCAGTCTACGGACACATCTGTAATGCAGTTTCTTTCCATCAGGTGGGTTTGGGAGTCCGTTCTCTTTAAAGAGTAAGCATCTCTCCACCCCGATCTGGTACACATTTATATTCTCCCATTTGCTTGTGTTTTGGAAAAGTAATGTTTCTGCTGTACAGGTTCCCCTAGCAAAATACTTGTTATGTTGTATTTGATTGTACGGTGTCCCAACACACCACCCCTGTTCCAGCACACACACACTGCAGCGACTGTTCTCCTGTTGTCAGGTCAGCTCGAAAGTCTCTGAAGGGGAGTTAGTTTAGACAGAAACATCCAACATTTTACAATAATTTTGTGCTAATGAGAGTTGCTATATTGATAGTCCCAACGAGCTTTCCCTACACACACAGGCTAGGGAGGCAACATGACTCTCTAGCCTCATTTGGAGGGATCACCTCTATGGCTACCCAATCTCTGGCTCTCGGGTGATAGTACCATTAAGGGGGGAAATCGGTGCCACCTGCTGTCGTGAGACCTCCGACACACTTGATACTGGACATATAGATGGCAATCGTTTTCGGTCACTACGGTCAGGACCTAGTTGTTTCAGAAGCGGTGGAATTTGCGGCAGAATCCACTTCTAGCCAAAGAACTGTGCTCTAGACTCTAAGCTTTTATGTAAGAAGAATTAAATCTCTAGCTCGTACAATGGCAAAGACAACCTTCAAACATTCAAAAACCAAATGTAAGTCGATGTGATGGTGCCTTCCTGAGTCTGCAGATAACACTCCAAGGCTATTGTTTGAGGCTAATTCCCATATATAAAGATGACAGCTTAAATAGCAACATAGTCAAGTAGTTCACTGGTGATCATTTTATCAGAAACAACCAGCTAGAGTGCTTATATCCCACAACCCCAAGCCACCTCCTCAGCCCTCCTTGGGTGCCAGAAGCCATAACTGCTCTCTACTCAGGTGCCAGAAGCTCCAACTTTCTCCAGGCAACATCTGGAAGGCACAGCACAAAAATCTGCAGTCTCCTGGAAAATTAAAATGTGAAGATAATGTATCAAATTCAATAGTTTTTTGTTTAATTTAGATGAGACTGTGGTGTGACACCAGAGTGCCCAAGAAACCAGGAGACTTGCAGTGGAATTCAAGTCCAGCTCGAAACCCTGCCTTGAGTATAGGACTGTCTTTATTTTATTTTATTTTATTTTATTTTAAAGAATGTATTGGGCTACCTGCCACAAATGGGTGCTCTCCAAACAGTACTAGGTACTGTAGCAAATTTTATAGTCTGCTACAACCCAAGTATCAAATGATCAAGATAAAAAGTGTTCAGTATGTATCATCAGCTCTTCTTATCAGCTATCAGTACCACCAGATTTTATTATAGTTGGTTGATTGGATGATTTCCCTTCTCGTGCCCTCTCTCAAACAGAAATCTTAATCACTCTATGGAGTACAGACAGCAATACACCAAAGTGCTTTTTAGCTCCAGAAGAGATGCTCAGGTTGGAGGACGCAGTTTTTGTCTTCAATGGGAGGTGGTCTAGGAGGGTTCCTATACTAGCTGGGTCTTGCCCTTATTGTTCAAAGAAAAAAACCTTGACTCATATCTCTACACTAGAAATTTCAGAATGGCAAAACTCAGCATTATTCTGATGCATTTTAATTTTTATTTCCTACCTGGTCAATTCAAGGCTGTTTAACATCTCAATATAGTAACCTCCCAAAAGCATCAGATTCAAAGATAGCAATGTAATAGTTCCTTTGGCCAATGTAGTATGTTTGTTTTCTACCTAAACAGGAATTACCCACTCTGTTGATCTGTTTGTAAAACATCTTATTTAGATGCGTAGAAAAAAAACCCTGCTAACATCCTTTAATAAACCCCAAAGGCAAGCTGCCTCTCTCCCCTCCAAAAAAAAAATATCAATGAACTTTTAAGGTCAGACACTACAGATGAGGTGGTGTTCTGGATAGTTAATACTTCCTCTATGTCAATACTCCCTTTGCCATAATGAATAGTATACAAAGAAATATAAAGTTCCCTTTTGTTAACACAGCTCATTTAGCTACTTTATCCTAAGGGGCAAGGGACTTTTTTTTTCTTAGACCCTTTTCTAATATAGGAAAAAAATTATAATTCCTCAGGTGGGAAAGGAAGGTAAAGATGTGATGACTGAGAAAGTCAGTCCCCGTACACTTCTCTCCCACCCCCGCAAAAATAGCTACAGCATAAAAAAAGATTACAGCTACTGAAGATTGGAAAATGAAAATATCAGTTATGCACAGGGGGCATGCAATATTCTGGCCAACAGTTTAAGCACGTGTGCATGATTTCAATTTGTCCTTCCCACCTCATTATTCAATCCCACATCTTTTATGGATCCTCTCTTATTCCAGATTATATAAAAGGGGGAACTTACTCACAGTTCAATACTAGAGGATCTGACAGCTCTACCTCCCATATTCTAGACTTTTGTTGACATTACTGGTTAAGGGCTTGGTTTTCTCTCTATCCCTTATGTCTCTGAGTTTTGACTTTAACAGCAACAAATTAAGACTAAACTTGCTTCTATCACTTCTGTTAGCAGTAGAGCTAGCGCTGTGTTACAGTGGTGCTCTGGATTTCACATCTGATTAACTCTCTTACTTTCAAAAGTCTGGGAAATTCTTGCTATGGAGAAAAAATGACTAGCTCTTGAAGACGGCCCTATTCTAATTATTCGGCTACTCATTAACTGAACTGAAATCGGTTTATTAAAGTAACTGATTATTTAAGTGTCCCTTATATTCAGAAGTAGAATCTACTTCCGCTTTACAGGATATCTTAGCTCAACGTGCAGAGACCACTTTTCTGCCATCTGTTGCTTTTTATTACACTAGCATCTGGGCAAAGCAAGCAGCAGGTTCCAGAGAAACATAGCTACATAGGGAGCAAAACACTGACCAGGAGATTTATGAATGCAGCAATCTTTAAACAAAAGAAATAGAGCAGAACTTTACTATTTCACACGAATGACTAGGAGATCCACTGAGAAATCATGCATTTTAGTAGTCAGCAAGTAAGCAAACAAATGATTAAAAAACCCCAAGGGCACTGCATTGCAAAATGTGCTGTATTCATTCATGTTTACAAGGGTAGTTTAGATTTTACTTAAATTACTTCCTAACATACTGCTAACTATACTGTTATAAAAAACAACTAAGTCGTCTTAATACATGATTTCACTACAAAGAATTTTGCTATTAAATATATGCTGAGAAATTGAATGAGACCTCAGTTTCTTTGGAGGGAGAGTTATCAGGCCTATGAGATTACCAAAGTCAGGCTGTAAATGCAGAGTACTTCAGTACTCTAGGGATGCCCTAATATTGTCTATCATTACATGGTATTTACACATAAAAGAGGCAAACAAAAACAAAAAAAGTTACTTGTTAGTTGTAAAAAACTAGAAACATAAAATTATTTCCTCCATAATACTGTGTTCTTTTTATATAGGGTTTACAACTGTTAAGAGATTACATGCACAAAATTAACCTCTTTAGCCTGTAACTAATGTATAGAATGACAAAAGACATAATGATGCTCTAAAAAATAGAAGACTTCAATCTAAAACCAAAAAATGCCATCAACTTTAATTCTATGATAGAACATCCAAAAAATGCTGAAAAAACACACATCCATTGCTGCAGAACAGTTTTTATGTAACAGTTTACATTTTTATATGGGAAATTGTACTTCAAGCCTCAGTTATCCAGCACTCAAAAAACAGACATGAACAAAGAATGCAATCAAGCTAGACTTGATAGGAAGAGTCCATCAGGAGTTGCTGCAGGTACAAAGTTGTATAATTGTATCTGTAATACATACCTCACATAATAGCAAGTCAATAATATGGAAGACCATGTAGAGGGGGAATTTTGCAGTGAATAGGGTTAGAAACCACTGGGAGGCATACATGTGGGCTTCAAGGCTGATGTCCAGAAAGTGGTTGTAGAGGTCAGGAATGCACTCCTTAAAAAAAAAAGCACACTCATTAGTTTTGACTTAAAAGCAGCTGTTTATATCATGCTTATAATTCTCAAATCTACAAGAGAATTGTACAGTAGAAGAAATATTTAATGCTATCCTATGGCATTTTACAAGTTGCAACTGGAATAATTATGCTAAAGGAAGTTCTTTTTCTGGAACAATGTTGGTGCACAGCTGTCCTCTATCTCAATCAAGGGTATAAGAAGAATGTGCAAAAACTAAACTATTCACTTGTGATAAAATGCTGCTCTCAAGCAACTAAGTCTGACCTGTTCACCTCAAAGCAATCTGGACACTTACCTGCATGAGGCGCTCCAACTGATAAAACTTGCAGTGCAAATCTTCAAAGTTTTGTTTGAAAAGTTCCCTGAGTCCATAGTCAAACATGATTTTGACCAGAACACTGAACGCCTGCTCTTCAGGCATCTGTCAAAAAGAACAAATCTTGTTGACATATTTATATTATTCTATTTCCTTCCTTCATCTTGCTCTTACCATCAAGATACCAACCGTTTTTCATAATGGATAAGGATAATTGCACACATCATAACAACTGGATTTAGAAACGGTATCTTACACCTGCTAGGTGTGACAAATTCCCTCTTAGTTCCTCAATTTAGAAACACACAATTCAACCTTAAAGATCCCCAAGGGTTCTATTTCATGCAGTAGCTGTCCCAAATCTGGTCAATGACTTCAGAATCAAATTATACTCCTATAGATTGCGAGCCCAACCCGTCCAGTTCCTCAGTGTAGTCAGCTAACACAGTTAAGATATGACCAGTACTTTTACAGTATTACTACAAGATGCTAAACGCACAGTAGCAATTTTTATTTCTACTTTTTAAAAATGCTGTTACTTCATTTGATGGTCTTTTATTCAAACTGATTAAAAAGGGAGAGTCGGTTATTACTACCCAAAGTTCAGATTTGGCAGCTCTCTACACCGTTTTGGGACACTTCGCTCTCCCCCTTCTGCCAGCAGTTGGAGACAGAAACATCATTACTTGTCAGTATTTATACATCCTTCCTTGGCATCACAAAGCAGTTCTGTTCTTTCCACAGCAGTAAAGACTGACTCTTCAGGTCAATTACTTGTTCCTGTAAAGGTCAAAATATCTAACTCAAGTGCTCTATTATTCATCCACAGATGCAGTCAGTGAACTCTGAAAACTTTTCAGAGATGTTCCCATACTGGCAGTGTGGGACTTGCAGAAACTACATTTCCCTTTATTGCTCAGGGACTGCAGGGTGTACGTAGCAGTACCTTTTCCAATAAGACAAGGTAACATGAATTCCATCATAGCCCCTAATAATCACACTCCAAAGACTGCCTTTCAGGAGGCTCAAAAAGTGAGAGAGAAACAAAAACTGAGATTTTTAAGTTGCAGCCTTCAGTTTAACAAAGCTCATTCTAAGAAGAAACAACTAACATTAAAGAATGAGCTCTAAGAAAATGTATGAATGATCTGGTTCTTGTCTCTATGAGTCTCCTTAATCCAATGGGTGCCAAAAAGGTAGGCAGATAGCATTTTGGCAGCTAAAAGAAAGCATATCTGTTAGTGAGCAGAGTTCGGTCCCCTTACTAGCAGCAAGAATAAACCTTTACTGCTGGTTGGGTTCAGAACAGTGCTGAAGAATTAATTTCAGTTTTATTATACAGGTTACAGAGAATCAAAGCATTACAGTTAGATACTATCAGTCCATCTGACTTCTGTTTATAAAGAGTGTAGTTTATAATATGTTTCTGTATCCTCCTAAACGTCACAGAATTAGGGGAAAATATTACTCTGAAAACCATACATACTGTCCGTTGGAGAGAGACGCACAAAAATCTTTATATTTAGTTCTGCATGGTAGCAGCAATCACTCAAAATTGGCTGCGGGGGACAGGGGGAGAATATCACAAAATCGTACAGGGCTTAGGAATTGCAGTTTCAAATATGGACTTATGACAAAAAGCAGAAACACTTCAAAAATATTGATCTAAAAATAGCATGTAGCTGCAGAAATTTTTACATTTTTTCACATAAGATAAGATGTTTCACACAAACATGAGTAAGTCTCAAAACTTTCTACTCAGATGTACTTTAAGTGTAAAACAGATAGCAGCAGCTTTCGTAAGTTCAGACCACTCAATACCTAGATAGATAAGGGATCACTACACTAAGCATAAATTTACCCAATGCTAATAATTGAAAAATAATACATTTGAGACTCAATCTATTTTAATTTTGGGTCATTGACTAACATCTAAACCACAAAAAACAAGGCCCAGAATAAACACATAGCAATGTTCAAACCACTAAGAGTTAATAAACTCACACACTACTAACATGCTGCAGAATATGTTCCTGTTTAATCCAAAAGCCATGGCAACCCCGGTTTGACCTTATGATCAATACCAATAAAAGCTCTTCTATAAGCTTACATTGAATCAGAGATGCCCTCCCCCCGCCCATGGGTACCTTTACAAGGAGTTCATAGGTGGCCTAAACCCTAAAGTCATTTCTATCCAGACAGCCTACTTAGCATAAACAAAGCAAGAGAGTCTGATCTGAGCTTAAGACAGCTTGCGGTGGAAAGGAAGCTAGAACCAGAAGCAAAATGAAGTGAACACTGACCACGAACTCATTATCGATGCTGCAGTGAACTTTAAATGGAACATGCTTCTCTTTCCCCCAAAGTCATAATTATGGACAAACAAGCACTTGAGTAAATAAGCAGGGGACTTGCTATGGCACGAATATGAGTGAATTTGAAATGAGTTCTTCTGGATAAATTGGAGCATTGTTTTGTCTGGGGCTTACAATAAATGGGAGTGTGTGGGGGGGGACGACTTACATGCAGAAGCAGCACAGCAGCAAGAAATGACTGGCCTTGGCAATAGCCAATCTCTTCATCATAGACGGAATAGGCCTGAAAAGAGAATCAATAGTTTAAGACGTGCACTCTCCAGAGAGCAGAACTGCATGAGGAAAAAGTTAAGTACTGAAGTGTATACCTTCAGTCATGACTGGCCTGTGATTCCAGGATATGGTTTAGCTGCTATGTTACTGCACAATGATTAATCCAAAGAAAAAACTGTTGTCTGGAGAGCAATTGTTGATGGCCAGCAGAGACCTGGTTGGCCGCAAGGTGCTGGACCATTTTCAGCTGCTAACTCACTCTGAGGGCTTCTTAAAGTACATTAAACCACTTTCCTAAGATTACTTTTACAGAGCAACAATTGCTGTAGTTGCAATCAGGATGTCAGGAGCTTATGAATCACATGAACACAAGTGAGGAAGGAGTAAGACTACCTCTCTATTAAAAGGCAGCCTGTACTATGAAAAAGTTTGAAAACCTTTGGATTAGCCTAACATTTCTTCAGTAGCCTCAGGGAGTACACACAAAAAATGACCCATTAATTTTCATTATGGGCCCTATGCAAGAAAAAATGGCAAGCAAGCAACTGTGATTTCATATTGTATAGGAATGCCATGGAAACATTCTGTATGCAGTGTAGTTGTAGCCATATCAGTCCCAGGATATTAGAGACATGGTGGGTGAGGCAATATCTTCTATTGGACCAACTTCTGTTGGCGAGAGAGACAAGCTTTCAAGCCATACACAGCTCATCTTCAAGTCATTTTAAAATTTGAACATTTTAGTCTGTATCAAATCTCAAATGCGTAGAATACCCTCTACCATTAGTGTGCTGGAGACAATGCAAACTCATCATTAGATAGCAATTCTAAAATATTTTAGATCAACACAGTACGTAGTGCCATCCCACCTTTGGATCCAGTAACATGATCATCTCAAATGGGGATGTGTGAAGTAGTGGCTTTTATGGACAAATCAAGGCCCTGTTTGGGGATTCTCCTCTTTAAATTATTCTCAAACTGCCACAGGTCTCTAAGAAAAGTAAGGCAAGGAAGAAAGATATCTAACTGTGCAAGTGAACTTTATAGAATAGATTTACCCTCCATTTCCTAAGTGCAACATGTTGGCACATGATGTTCCTCAAGGTTACAGAGTTCTTCCCTTGGCTACAAATACATGGCTCCAACTGACTGCAGTGGGAATAGGGTGCATACATATGTAGACAGTATTTGGCCTTGTAATTATAGCATGCACCAATTTTGTTGGCTGACAACCCACTCATGGAGAAGTCTCATATACTTTAAGATCAGAAGGGATTATCATGATCATCTAGTCCCCACTTATCTCTTCTTATGCCCCATGCCAGCCTCTAGATAGTCCTGATTCCAGTCAAATTTGGACCCAAATACATTTTCATATCCTTTAGCCCAGGGATTGACTTTCATTTGCCAATCAAGAATCATTAAATATTTTCCCCACTTAACCTTTAGTTCATTATTTGATGGGTCTATGGTATAAAAATAACTATCTGTTGGGGAGGGGTCCTTTTACAATCCTGTTTTGCCTTTGTTGCAGCATAAGATGATTACGCTCTACAATGACAGCATTACAATGGCAGGAACTCCTCTTGCACATGATACCAGGTCAACATCCTAGGCAGTCACATATAGAAAGGAGTTGCCAACAGACAAGGGCACATCTGAAACTCCAACTGAAAAAGGAGAGCTGCTGAAACATCTGCCGATATTCTGTACACAATCCAGCTGAACCTTACGTGGATAAAATTAATGTCATAAAACAGACTTGCTGCTAAGAAGAGAGATACTGAAAGGTACAAGACTAAAGAGAGTTTGGGTGAGGATCATTTTGAGCACCTTAGTCTGCTTCCAAAATAAAGATCAAACGGAAAACGATCACCACCAAGGAACAGGAGAACAATTTCACAATGAATCTGAAGTCATGGAAAGGGTGCAATGGGTATCAGTCCAGTTCCTATGCTAGCCTAAGAGTGATCTCACCGGTATGTTACTGTTGCAAAATATACTGGATAAACCATCAAGATCAAACAGAAGTAACCAAAGAATTATGTTTCCAAAGCATTTTTACAGCAAAATTTGAGATTTTGAGGTGTTATTTCAAATTACTGGGTTTATGCAGGGTATCGTGGTACAGAAAAATCTTTTAACTGGTTACCAAGTGTTTGATTTTAGTATTACTGTAATTATATGCAAGAAATTACTGTAATTATACGCAATAAATGCACAAGCATTTCCTTCTGCCCAGGACAGTCCCCTGTGCAAAGCTCATCATCTTTAAATTATATCCTAAATGAAAAACTGTGCGCCAGAAATTTAAGCTTCAAAATGAAGAAATGTCTCCTGAGGGATAGACCACATGAAGAATTTCTAAATGCAGAATCAGAGTGCTGAAAGCTTGAGATACTCTGGTCAAACAAGGTAATTGGATCAAACAGAAAACAGTCATTTTTACCTGATCATTAAAATGCAGAAGATAATTAGCACTTAAATGTGTGCTTGCTGGTTTATAATGCTAATGAGAGATGCATAATTATTTTCAGCTTTACAGATACCTAGATCTTCTGCAAGATCTTTGCTCTCTATTAGACTACGGTAGCTCTTATGAAAATTCCACAAGATCATCTGTTGTATTCTGAGGACATATTCTAAAGAAACACTTTAATTTAGCATTGTTTAGGGTTGTATCTCAATCTGTAGATGTGATGGACAGAAATGAGGCCATCCCCATTTGTACAGTGTTCTGATATCAATAGAAATAAAATATCAAAACTGTGCAGAAATATTTGCATAATTGAACAGATCAAGGATTTCTAAAGGTTTTGTGAGGAATAAAAACTAGGTGTCCCTCTAAAAACGGTGAGCTCTTTATGCTTCACACTTTGCTGCACCTTCCTCTGTTTAGTGGGCTGCCCAGTGATCCTATAAAAACCTAGTGTCTAATAGCACTGGCCACAGACAGGCACACGCAGGTCAAGCTTCCCACCGTGCAGCTCTAGCCCCACACAATACCCCTGATCAGCAGCCTCCCTACTATTCCAGAGCTAGGCCCCTCTAGACTATTCTGCTGAGGCACTTAACCTTCACCTGCAGCTCCAACCCCTTCTTTTATATTCCTTCCTTCCTTCAGCAGAGACTACAGGTTCTAACAACTCAACTGCACTTTGGTTTAGTTTTTCTGTATCCCACTGAAACGAAAACGCCAAACATTTTAGCACAGGACAGACAGACAGACAAGATGAAAAAGGTTCCAACCCAGTGAGCTCATTAATGAGATTCTTGGTCGTCGTTTCTCTCTGAAGTGTGGGCACCTGGCCACATAAAGCATCATGTCTCTCAGCAGGAGCAGAGCGAGACACTACACAGAAATAAAGGGACAATCGATCTCTCGGCTTAGTTTGCTCGTGTTGTGGTGCCTCCACTTCAGTTTCAAAACTAGCTGTGAAAAATTTGTAGAAAGTTGAACCAATGAAGAAATTGCCATTTATTTCTACTTGCGTAATTCCCTATAAACATTGTTTTCAATGACAACATGATTCACAGGGGCAGATCTAAATCAGACATGGAGACCTCTCCTTTGAAGAGGACAATACAACAAGATCTGCACTAGGTTCACTCCTGCATAATTTGAGAGAGAGAGAGAGAGAGAGGAGTGAGACTGTGTGTGTGACATATGCTTTCCCCACATGACCCATCCAACATGCCCTGGGTTTTAAGTTTCTGTCCCCGTTCAGTCCTGGCCTCACTGCTGAGATGGCCATCAAGGATGCTAATACCAGCAGCATATGAGGGTGGTTGTAGTGTTGTGGACCCCAGTCCACTAGGAACTGGATTAAACTGAAGTTATTTTGTATGGGCCAAAACAACCTTTGCACTCTGGCAACTTTTCAATTCAACTGAGCTTACAGAAAAAATAAGCAAAGGGGAAACATGACCAAATGAAATCCAACATAACTGTTGTAAACATAAAAACTGTATGTTGACCAAGAACACCACACACGAGGTTATAAAATACCTTGCATATTTTGTACAAGGAGTCCTGGCCATCTCCCCCGGTATCCTTAAAGTAATCATGAGCTGGGAACGTGCGATTGATGTCCCGAGTGATTGCGCTGTCCTGGGGAGACTCCTGTTAAAACAAGAACATGAGAGAAAAATCTGTATGTTAAAAGGGATGCAGTTTAAAAATCAGCATAAATTACAATGTGCTGGAATGAATGGCTGATAGACCATCAGTGTATGCTGTGCACTTCACTCAATACAGACTAGGGTAGACAGCCTGCAGCCCAACCACCTCAGGTCACAATCTGGTAACCTAAGCAGGTCTGGGCATGGTCAGCACTTAGCTAGGAGATTGCCAAAGAAAATACAATCAAGTGCTACAGGATGTGGTAGTGAGTCAGTAGACCAAAAAAAAAAAATCTATCCTTTCAATCTGTACGGAACCCAACTGCCACTACACAAATTCTACTTCCTCTTAGGTAAACTGAGGGTGCCAGTCAAACCATCTTTGGTCATTGTAGTCTGCCACACTAAAATTCACCCCCAGTTTAGACTGGAGAAGTCATTTTTCACTCCCCTCCCCCCCAAATGCCAAGACACAATAAGGGTGAAAATAGACAGGAAATGGGATCCAAGCCTGAGCAGGACATGACTTCACAAAAAAGAAAAGCCATACTCTACTGGCTGCATACAAGAGGCATCACATCATGGCTCAGGGAGGTGGCAGTACTGTGCGTATATGGCTCTGGTGCAACCACCTTTAGAACACTGTGTGCAGAAGGAGATAGAGCGAGGCTACAAACAGCAGGAGTAGCTGGAAGTGAAGAAATCCAGTCTGAGAAAGGAACTGATCCTACTTGAGAAGGCCCTGAACAAAACCACCCTGGAAAAGGAGGTGTCTGAGATTGAGAAGGTGGAGGTGGCAGAGGCTCTTTCCAAGATCTGTGTTTGCACCAAGAACAGCATTAAAGGCTCTTGGGGTAGGGAAAGAAGGGCCAGGTAGTACAATGGGGTCAGGAAGGGCTGTTGAACTTGCGGATATCAGTGTCACAGGGTGACACTTGCCTTGTAAGAGGAACCTGGGGCCAGTGCACCTGCATCCCATTAACTGACCCAGATTAGGCTTCAAAAGAGGGCACCTGAGGGGATGGGAGGCAGGAGGCCCAGTGAGTCAGAGGTTGGAAGCTGCAGGAAGCAGTCAGAGCCTAAAATGTAAAGGGTGAGCTGAGGAGCTGTTTTAAGTTTGGACCAAAAAAATTAATAAAAAAATCTGCCTGAGAGACTGTCGGTGTGCCAGCAAATCATCAGGAAGTGGGGGAGAAGCCATGCAATAGACACCAATATGACTTGGAAGGCCAATTAGCTAGTGCTTTGTGGATGGACTAAACAGTAAAAACAACGAGAAGTCCTTGTGGCACCTTAGCGACTAACAAATGTATTTGGGCATAAGCTTTCATGGGATATAACCCACTTCATCAGATGTGAAGTGGGTTATATCCCACGAAAGCTTATGCCCAAATACAAGTCTAAGGTGCCACAAAGACTCATTGTTTTTAATTGATACAGACTAACATGGCTACCCCTCTGAAACCTGTAAACAGTAGCAGTACCCAGAAGCTGAATGCTTTCTCTCAGCAGAACCATGTGAACCTACACTGCTATTAGACGATGAGAATCTCACTTGAGCTCGCTTCAAAATGCTTTACATTGCATAATAAGCTAACAGCAGTTTTATTCCCTCTTCTGAATCTGTACTTGTGACTCTCTCACTGATGTGTGATCGTTTCCTAAAGGGAATTCCAAAATCTTTGTTTGATCTGAACTTTGGTTTAAAAGTAGGAAGATTGCTAATTCTGCCCAGCTTGTCTCTTTCTGAGTAGATATGCTGTATTTTGTGAGTTTCTCTTGCTGATATTAATTCAATCAGATAAAGGATCAACATCTTTTAAATATGTACCAATTTTTTAAAATACAACAGCTTACATAAAGTAGTCACATTTGTTCACCCTCATTCTTGTATACTACTTTATTGCTCTGTAATCCCATTGAAAAAAGAAGGATGTCATGAAGTCCACTGAGCTCAGTGCAGCACATAGTAGTAAAGATCAGCAGTGCAACTGTTAAAGGAAGTTAGATATAGACCAGTGGTTCTCAAACTTTTGTACTGGTGACACCTTTCACATAGCAAGCCTCTGAGTGCAACCCCCCTTATCAATTAAACACTTTTAAAATATATTTAACCTCATTATAAATGCTAGAGGCAAAGCAGGGTTTGGGGTGGAGGCTGACAGCTCACAACCCCCCATGTAATAACCTCATGACCCCCAGTTTGAGAACCCCAGATATAGACAAAAGGACCAACAGGTTCATTCAATCTCACATGATAATTAGCATGTCATAAGCCTGTAGACACCCTCTCCAAAATAGAAACAAGTGTGCTAAAAATGTCACAGTAAAAGTCTGAATTGTAATCAGAGGCAAGGGGTTAGGCTAATGGTGCCATATGTAAGTCTCCTCCAGAGGAGAGCACATTCTCCATACCCAGGTTTTTATATGGGCTCTCATCACATGGTATCTTAGTACCTGTTGGGGGTAGTCATGTCCTAGTATTTATTTAGCTGAATACCATGACTAGTATCACCACCAAAATGCATGAGAATAAACATATGTTCTTATTCTTGGTTGATTTCTATTTGACTATATAAATGGTCTCATTTCAGTACTGGAACAAGGGCCTTCCTAGGCGGCTAATGAGATCAGATTTCCTCACTGGTAGATGACCATCTGAAAAGAGGCCTCTGAATTCATTAGGCTGCTTGTGCTACTGAAAGCATCACCTGCTCCCTTCATCAGGTGTTACTGTGTCAATGACTGAGGAGCAATTAAAAGATTATGTCCCCTTTACATCTAAGTTGTAGATTTTACTTACATCGGGGGGGAGGATAGCTCAGTGGGTTTGAGCATTGGCCTACTAAACCCAGGGTTGTGAGTTCAATCCTTGAGGGGGCCACTTGGGGATCTGGGGCAAAATCAGTACTTGGTCCTGATAGTGAAGGCAGGGGGCTGGACTCAATGACCTTTCAAGGTCCCTTCCAGTTCTAGGAGATGGGATATCTCCATTTAAATTTTTTTTAAGTTATGGAAGTTTGCTACACATAAAAGGCTGCAGCATGAGGGCAAGATGTAGTGTGGAACCACAAGGGAAG